TCAAATACATTTATAAATGAATACGGCAACTTTTAATATAAAATGATGGAGCTACACAAATTACCAACAACAACAACAACATCATCATCATCATCATCACCATCATCATCATCATCATCAACAACATTATCAGTTTCAGCATCATAAACAGCATCATCTTCACATCATCATCATCATTAGCAGCAGCAGCAACAACAGCAGCAGCATCATCATCAGCAGAAGCTTCATCACCATTATCGTCGTCATCATTATCATCATTGTCGCATTGTTCGTACCTCTGCTTACAAATACAATCATCATTAACATAATTACTTCAATTATTTAGACGTCCATCATCATTATGAGGAGCAGGAACAACAGGATTACGGCCACGATGATAAATGTGGTTGTGATGTAGATCATGCGCTGATTCTGTTGATGACAAGAGTCGTAATGATAATCGTGATGATGACGATAGTGATGAGATTAGTGATGATGTGCTGGTTAGGATGATGATTAGGGTTGTAATGACGATGATGATGACAAATATTATGCATTTCGTGCCAATTCCTTTTAGTTATGTCGAATTGTCCAGATGTAACAACAAAGTTCATGCAGGAATGCATCCTCATTGTTAAAGGCAGACATAGAGCGTTGTTCATAAGTTTAGGACATACAACCCTTTGCAGGTATGGCTTAAAGTATGCATATTGACCAAGAAAATAAATCCTAACATTCCAATTTATGAAAAAATCCCTTTTTCTTGGGTTTAAAGTCAGATTTAGATATCGACATATTGCACAAGTATGAACATAATCATCATCTTTTTCAACTGTAAAAGCAGATACATTTATTTGTACATCGTTGAACAAAAGTTGCATCAAACTTATTAAAACTAATCGTTTGGTGATTTTTTAATGTTTACAGTGCTAAGACCTATACATTTTACGTTTATTGTGTTGTTAAAATGCTTCAAAACAGGCTAAATTATTATTATCTTTCTAGCTATAAGAACAATTGAAATTTGTTCATGTTTTTGAAGTATCTTGTTCATTCTTTAATGTGCTTGACTTTATTTTGTATCATTTGTTTCATGTTATTTGTCTTTACTTTGTATCATGTTTTTGTCTTTACTTTTTATCATGTACTTATTTTCGTTTCTTTTCTGCACGTTGTTTCGTGTACTTATTTTTATTTCCGTTTTGCACTTTTTATTATTTTTTTAATTTTCGTTTTGCACTTTGTTTCTTGTGCTTATTTTTTTTAATCATTTTCTATTACTGCACATTATAGTTTGTACATTTTTATATCTATTATGCAACTTCTATGTACCGTATGCTTATTTTCATTTTATTATGCGCATTGTATGCTTATTTTCATTTTGTTATGCGCATTGTATGCTTATTTTCATTTTGTTATGCGCACTGTATGCTTATTTTCATTGTATTATGTACATAGTATCATTTGCTTATTTTCTCAGAGCTTGTTTACTATTTTCTGCTTTAATATAAATAAAAACAGATGATAGAAATTGTATCAACTTTATCACGATTTCTACTTCATGCACCAAGTTTATGATTTAATTTCTTGTTTCTAAACATATTAATGTACTTTATTACTCGAGTAAAGAAAGAAATCATGATTAGATTATTAAGAATACGTATCTCAGATTTCTAATTTGATGTTTTGTCAAAACATTAAAATTTCGCAGTATGTTCACAAATCATGATAACCCACGATAAAGATCTCTGTTTATAACCATTTACCAAGATAGCTTTACTTTATCGTCGCAAGTTACAAACTGCATTTGATAAAATAAAACGCACTTTTTTGTACATTTTTTTCTAGCTTGAAGTTATACACACCGGTGGAAGAAGGGAAATACACAAATTTTTAACCTATTAATGCAGGCATTTGTTGATATCAAAGAACTATAATTGATGGTAAAAACGTCATATCATATTTTCATCAGAATCTATCTTATTAAAATCGGCAAATACGAATATTTTGTCCACCTATCTTTCATTGGCAGACTCCATTGCACGCGCAGCTTTCTTCGCGTGATAAATAATAAATTAGATAAGTATCTATTCCCAAGAAACTGTATTACGTATGAACAAAAGTTTCTTTCATAAAATGTCAATTTCCTTGATGGAAAATAGCAACAAAACAATATCATTCCATCTATATGTCATTAAACACATGATAAAATAATAAAAACCCGCCTAGAAGTTCGAAACTACGGAGTTATCTTTGCCAACCACATTTGAAGGTCGCGGTCTTTAGCAGACGATAAACGTTTGTTTAAATCAAGTTTGGAAATGGAATATCTTAATCGATTTTTAAGAAAGCACACCTACGGTGGGTTGATTGAAACTACACAGGTATGTTTATTTAGATGAAAACAGAGCACATAAAATTACATCATAGCTTACGGAGAAAAAGTTGTGATTTTAAAGTGTTACAAGAATCTGGGATGTGCTGATAAAGCAAGAAGATGAGGGGAAAAGATGAAGTTGAATCAAAGCTTTCAGTAATAAAATATTCCGAAAAAATTGTTGTTGTTTTTTTTAATTGATTAAGCCAAATAAACATTGAATTGAATATCAGTGTTGCAATTAGTCGTATATCCACTATAGTTATAACACTGAAAACAGAATTTGGTGACACTTTACAAACAAATTGGTTTATAGTCTTACAACCTTCACCTTTCTGACATTCTGAGACCTAAACAAATTCAGCGCCTTTTGTGCTTTGATTTATTTCTTTTTAGCATTCGGACCTCAGTAGAAAATTGGTAAAATATCATATTTGTCGAAATTTTGTTTTACCGATCAACAGTATTCTCAAACCGTTTGCTATGAAATGTCTTGTTCGATTCAATATATGAAAATAAGTTAAGCTTTTTTGCATTTAATCGGTAAAATGTGAAGAAGCAATTAATACTAGAGTTTGTTTATCAAGGAATACTATAGCCCAGTTTGTTATTTATTGCCCATTTTATAATCGCCTAACTAGCTAATAATCTTCCTAACGATAAAAGTGTTCCAAAATTTGCAATTCCAGATAAAACTTTATCTGGTAAATAAGTTTTACTGTTTATACATATTGTAAATATATCATTACAAAAAACATTAAGAATTGTATATAACTATAAATTAGAATCTGAAGAAATTTATGTGCTGATATTAATTCAGCATGTGGATATATTTATTTGTGTTTAGTTTCCCACAATATTACGCTTTCTTATGGGTCTAACGACATTTTAATGGTGAAGGGTTTATAGATATAAATTCGGGGAGTATTTTAATTTCTTACATTGAATGTAAATGCTACAGATAGCCGGCAGGGTATATTCGTCGTCAACAGTTTGCGGCAAAATCGGTGGTTTTTATTTGTACCCAAGTGCCACTGCGCCTGAAATAATTTCATCATCATCCACCACCACCATCATTATCATCATCATCATCATCGTCGTCGTCGTCGTCACCACCACCAGGCTAATGCTGAATCTGAAGAAAATATTGATCTTTCCGACGCCGACGACTCAGTGACGACAGTAAAAGCAAAATGGCGGTTAAAACGCCTTAAACATAACAACACTTACGGGTTCTTGTTACCACCACGATCTTCATGTATAATGAAGTTCCTGCAAATCAAATTCTCGATTTCCACGGTTCGCTTCACCGACGCTTGAGCTGTTTGGCACTCCGCTTTCTTAGAAATATTAATTATGGTTTTGACACTTTTACGACATAAGCTTAGAAAAAATTAATGCGAAAAAATGGCAGGAATTATGTCTTTGCGCGTGGAAAAAAAGTAAATTTTATTGAACATTTTCATATCATTTTGGATTCCTTACGAATTATTTATGTCGATTAGTGTAGAATAAATTGATGCAACACATTTTATCATGGGGAAAATATTTTATAGATATCTCAGTACGTTTAATAGATGACGTAAATTTAGTCATTAGGTTTAAGAATTAATCACACGGACCTTAATTGTCAATTAATTAAGGTCCGTGGTATTGGGTCGTTTTATTTACAGGTTTTTAATACAAGGGGTGTAACTGCACAAAGATAGGTCATACATATTGTTAGTAGTTAACTCCCTTGTGCTGAGTAACATAGCACGGTGACATCATCGCCGTTTAATATTCATAAATTTCACTTTCATCGTCTTGATAAAAAAACTATAGTTTCATAACAGCAATTTTAACAAAGGGCAAAAGGGTTGAACAACAAGTTATAGCAACATTAGAAACTGTCCTCCTTCCTTTCAGCATTATAAGATATAGAAACGAAAACGTGTTTAAACACTACAAAAGACAGACACACATATAAATCAAAGCACAGAAGGCGCTGAATTTGTTTGGGTAAGGTGAAGGTTGTGAGATTATAAACCAATTTGTTTTTGTATAGTGCGAGCAATGCTGTTTCCAGTGTTATAACTGTAGTAAATTGGCTATAAGGCTAATTGCAACACTGATATTCAATTCAATGTTTATTTGGCAATTTAAATTTTTTTTTTAGATATATACGGTGATATTCAGCATACTGATGTATACAGCTGACGATTAGCTGTTTTTCATTTCAAGACTCTTAAAAATAGTTATAAATGTATATTCACTATTCTTTCAGAGTATTATTGTATACGAAACATAAGAAATCAAGATGTAATTACATTTTAACTTTTAACCTTTTAATAAGCAAATGTCATTTGTTTCCCCTGAACAAACATATTCCTGTTTATGCATGTTCTATCGTTATTCTGAACAGTCTTTCTCACTTTAACTTAGTTTCTTCTTTAGAAACATATATTTATGCTGGATTAATGGTAAAATATACAATGTAATTATTTAACTTATATCAGTTCCATTCCTTCCGTCTCTTTGATAATTCACTGTTTAGTCAGAGAAAATATTGTGTTGTCACCAAGGGCCTTGCAGTTGAAAAAAGAGACGATAACCAAGAAACTGTTACCATTTGAATTTCAAAGAAACGTTGAAAACAACACATTTTATTTTCTATAGAATTTTAATGTTTGAAGAAAGACAAATGGCAAAATATGACATAAACTATTAAAAATAAATTCACTTCTGTATCACAGATAAGGGTGAATATGAAACCTATTTTGTTTTCTCACAGGGCATAATTAAGCCAAATAAATTGAGCCGAGTCATGACAAAACCAACATAATGGGTTTGCGACCAGCATGGATCCAGACCAGCCTGCGCATCCGCGCAGTCTGATCAGGACCCATGCTGTTCGCTTGCAAACCCTATAACAAGAGTAGAGAAACTGATACCGAACAGCATGGATCCTGATCAGACTGCGCGGATGCGCAGGCTGGTCTGGATCCATGCTGGTCGCAAACCCATTATGTTGGTTGGCTAAATTAGAATTTAAATACCAGTATAACAATGTTTTTATTTTTTTCAAATGTTATGAATTCGTAGAGGAATGCTCAAGCATATGGAAAGTGATTTAGTTCAAAGACGGTCATAGCTGTACGTGAGTCACATTTTTCAGTAACTTAATCTTAGTCGCTACTTATTACATGTACGACGGTGCATCAATAAATTCTTAAACTAAATGTAATTCAATAGCGTCAAAACTATTGGTCCGTTTAAAATGAAACTTTAAATGCAAATGCAAATCGTGCATTGGACGTTACTTTGAGAAGGAATAATCCTTTTAGGTACTTGAATTGAATCATTTCCCCGTTATTAAATTAGTTTACGAATTTACTGATGCATCCTCGAATATTGATACTCTATAATGTATTTTGAGCTTAGCCATTACCATGCAAAAAAGGACTGAAAGATTAAAAAAAAAACGTTTTAAGAATGTCGTCTGCTGCAAAATGAAGCACATCACATAGCAGAAAACTGCTTAGAACATTCAGGGACGGCAACTAAATATATCACATTTACATGCAAGAATGACGAAAAAGCCTTGAGTGATATTCAAATAGCAAATTATTTGAAAATCAACATCTAAGGCATTAATTACAATTGTACAGTTTTAAAGTTCAATAATTATCATAAATGAATAATTACAATAAGAAAATAGATGTTGAGCCGTACATGTGGAATATAAAAAATGTGTATTTGAAATAATGATAATAAAAATAATTCTAATAAAAACAAACAAAATCAATATGATTGACAAAAATAAATAAATAAATTAACCCATTGACCTTTTTTGAACCGAAAGAGATTAGACTGTGTCATTTGCATAATGTCAGTCTAATTTAACCTGATCTGGCCCTATGTTGCCTGAAGCTCAATTTTTGTATTTTGTTATTGAATAGATTGTTCAAAATACAAAACAGGTAAAAATCTACTTCACAAATTCAATAAATCAGTTTTGGTAATGAGTGTATTACCAATATCCAAGCCACCAAACACATATCTTTGATCTTCATATACACATACATACTCAATTTGATATTTACTTACACACGAAAAATGAGTTTTACAGGGGTCTAGCTGGTTTAAACAGTTAATAAAAGTCGTCAAAAGCTTCCCCGTCATCCTTTTTAGTACCACCATTGACGTCATTCTTGTCAGACAGCTGCAAGTTATCTCCTTCTTTCTTCTCGTTTTCAACACTAGCTTTTCCAACATCAAGTTGATCATTAGAGGTTAGATCAAGACCACTGTCATTTGTTTCTAAATTAGGCATTTGATCCTGATCTTCAATGACATTGTTACTGCCTTCCTCCTTATTTGATGTACGAGAGCTTTCCCTGCTTTGTAGCCTTAGAATGTTTTCAGGAGAGTCTCTTTTCTTTGTACTTTGGTCACTTTCCCTGCTTCTTGTCCTTAATTTGTCATCAGAACTTATTCCTTTATTAGAACTACTTCTTCCACTTCCTGCCCTTGAATTATTTTCAGGAGTGTCTCTTTTACATGTACCATCAAAACTTCCTCTACTCTCAGACCTTTCATTGTTTTCAGTATCCTGTTTAATATTTGACTCAAGTACCAACGAGTTTGCCTCATAATCGCAATGCTCATTCACACTTCTGTCTTCTTTCATTTGGCTTTCGTCATCATGATTAAATATATGTTTATTATCGGTATTGTCCATGTGATCACTTACCTGTTCTTTATCTGTTTTATAATTCTCTGTACTATCCGGTTTAATTTCCGGCGTTTCTCTAACCTTTCGGACAGGTGGTGTGAATTCCTTTGCACATAAAGTTTGGAATTCTTCCCAATGCTTCTCAAGTATTTCAGCAAAGTTTTTAAAGTTTTCCATCGGATAATCTTTTTCCATTTCCATATACCGCTTTTTGAGAACATCACCCAGTTCTTCTCGTCTGTTCTTCATCCAGACAGGGTCGTTGAGGTTCGTTCTAGTGGCTCGTTTCTTCCATACATTTTCTTGTTGTTCAGTTGTTTGATCATTCTTAAACAAATCAAGTTCAATTACAAACCATGCAGCGTCACCATCAATTGTCATATCAAGTGGATCTAATGCCTCAATACCATGACCTTCTTTGACTGCATTCGCAAACACCTCATTAGTATCACCAAGACCTTCATTGGTAAATTCTGCCATAACCCATGCTCCTTCCGCCGGCACTTCGCAATCAAATGCAGTCCATGTCTCTATCCACTTTCTTAGAACGGTAGGATCGGAATGAATATCAGCTGGAAGAGGAAAGGTGAGTTCGTTCGGATTTGTCGTAGCGTCCGGAGGATCATTAGCTATTTTACAGTGCGGATAACTTGCTAACCATCTATTCAACTGATCTCTAAACTCTTTAGCATAGTCTGAATCACTGTCCAACTCTTCAAGAACATTTTCAGCACTTTGCTTCATACGAGACAATTTTTGCTCTTCTGGCACTTCGACAGAATATCCAACGTGACAACATAAAAGGACTTTTGCTAGCTCTTTTCTTGATACCTTATGCTGTCTTGCTATATAAATCGGGTATGAATGAGTGATATATGGATCTACTAGGTCTTTAAAATGATCTACCCGCCCCTGAAAACAGGAAAGAATAACAATTTAAAACACGAGACAGGTTAATGAAGCAAACAGAAAAAACACAACATGAAACAGAACAATATGTCGTAATTGACACTGATTTATTACTAGTTAAGGATAAAAATAGATCAAAATAGAGGATTCTTTCAAGTCAGAAACATTTCGTAAATGATGAAGCTGCATTAAACATCGATGAAAAACATTTTACCAACCTTGATTATCGGTTCCATCTTCTTCCAGCTGTAGATCTTCTTGCCGTATTTAAACCAGTCTAAACCAGACACCTCATTATTGTGTTCTACTATATCATCTATAGTGTACTCGGCATTTATTTCCTCAGCTTCATCCATATCTGATGGAAACGACAAAGGCACCGCGTTGTTATTTTTTATAAATTCTTCTTCTACTTCCTCATGATTGAAGCGAGATCGCTTCTCTTCTTTTCGTTTAGCTATTTCCTCGTGATCCTCTGATCTACTCTTCTGGTAATTTCCTGTCACATTTTTCGTATCGACTTCATGGTCCGGATCACCAGTTAAGAATGTTTGTTTTTGAATTTCCTCGTGATGCCTCTGAGCTTCTAATTTCTTTTCCTCTTCTGCATTAGCAGATTTTAAATGTTCTACATCATTTTCATGTTCAGATTCATTGTCGACATGAGTGTCAATTGGAGTAACTAGTGTTGACGCATTTACTACTTCAGAATTTTGTCTCTGGACTGTATACGTTTTCCTGGTACTTGCACTATTTGCTCTACTTCCTTCTTCTCTTTTCTGCCGGCTGCTATCTGCGCTTTTAGACGACGAGCGACTTGACGCAGACGACTTTCTACTCGACTTTTTCGATTTTTTGCTTCTAATCGAAGATGCAGCAGACGCCTGTCTAGATGGCACTTTTTGATGGCTCTGATAGTTTTTGTTTTCTTCTGGATTCTGGAACGTCTGGACAGCTGTACTGGAACTTCCGCAGCCCATTCTGCGAGGTTATGTCGACCCGAACACCTGCAATAATAATCAATAAACATGTTTATGTATCAATACAAATGTTTTCTTATCTTACATTTACATTATCTTGCTAAAAGAAGATTAACATTATACAATGTATTTTACCTTTATAAAATTTATAATATTCTTTTGACTAAGGTCAACGGTTGGTTTGAATGATTTAAACTGTGTGGGGTGAACCCAAAACAGAGTGATACGAAGGTTATATTTTGGTGTTATTTTTATAATGTCGAAATATTTATTGAAATATTTCCTATCAAGTGATGATTAATATTTTGATTGTTTAAGATATTCAATGATTTTATAAAGAATATTATTTGTATAGATTAATATGAATAATACAAAGTTCAATGCTAAACTAAATATTGATTAATTAAATCAGTCTATATTACCACGATCAAACTATTAACCAAACTATAAACGAAAACATTTGAAGGAAATAATAAGTTAATTGCGTGAAACCCGCATGTAGTGAGTTGGATATAAAACTCATCAATGCAATTGCAAATACAGTAATATCGATAGACCCGCATACATGTATATAGGTATTTTAGACAAATAGTTTTAATCTCAATTAGTACACTTTTACAGTGGGCATCGTGGCCGAGTGGACAAGGTCGTTGACTTTAAACCACTTGCCTTCCACCGCCGTGGCTTCAAATCCCACCAGGGACTTTTAATTTCTTCAAGTGAGGAAGCTATCTAGCTAGCTTACAGAACGTTGATTGTTTTATTCAGGTGGGCCTAGTGGTTAAGGTCGGTGACTTCAAACCACTTGTCTCTCACCGCTTTGGGTTCAAATCCCACTATGGACTTTTTATTCTGCCATGCTGATAGTTCTACTCAGGTGCCCGTTCGTGCCTGAAATATTGCACGAATGGGCACATGATGTCTTCCTCCACCAGTAAAGCATAAACAAATTCACCTTATTTTCCTTACAAACATGACTTACATTATATTCCATATTTATGTATTTAACATTTTACACATGTGTGATAAGGGGGATTTTCATGTATGACAAGATATAACAATGGTGGCCTGGTTGGTACAAGCTACATTAGTCTTCTTTAATCGTCATTAGTACAAATGTACTATATGTGGCGTACTTTGATGCCGCCACACGAAAACAACATTTAGGCCTAAACTCTGACTTAAATGAAAAGTAAATAATCAAACTTGTTTTGTGAAGTCTGAAAACGTTCAAGTATGTGGAATGTCAAAACTTATCTGTAAATTTATCAGACATATGTATGGAATTAGATTACCATACATTTATGAAGCAATTTCATCAGAAGTGCTGAAATATACTATATATTAATAAATGTAAAACTATCCAGAAATGTATATGTACATAGAAGCGATAAAGAATTCAATTTAACCTTGTCAACTAAATGGAGTATCGTCCAAAATAATCTAAAAAATCACGTTTATTGACTTAGTATTTATCTCCTAAGTATTTTTCTTTCGAATGTAAACAAATAGTTCATTCTTTAAATATTTGGTAGATTCTTTTTAGTAGTTATTATCTGACATTATATACAGTATATAAAACTTGTTCAGAAAGACAAATCTTTTTACTGTTTTAGACACGATACTGAACTATAGACATCTTACCATAATGAATGTAAAGTAATCATCCCATAATTCAGTTTTCAATATCTCTTATCCTTCTTTTATCTACGCAAAAGAGTTAACATGATGCAAAGCATGTTTACTTTTTGATAGATTCTAAAATACCACTCTTTTTCACACTTTTCACACTCTTTTTCCCCTTATCTCACTTTTAATACTAATTCACTTCACACAATCTTACTTCAAACTCTACACAAGTTCACATGACAAAGTTCCACTTTATTCTATCTCACTCGACATAATCTCACTTCACACATCATATTTCTCACTATCTCACTTCACACTTTATACAAATCACTTCTCACATACTTCACACTGATCCAGCCTTTCTTTGTGACATTTTTCGTAGCATTCGTCTCACTTTACACATCATATATCTCTTATTACATATTAGTGGTCTCTTGTCACACATGACTTACATATCGACAATTCTCAACAAAATGTCCGAGGGTCTCGGGTTTGAGTGACAATAAGGTTGCAAATCATTTTGCCTCGCGACATTTTGCATAGACTTGGGGCTGCGGTAGTATGGACCCGTGCCTATATATTTACATTAAATTTTGTATCCATCGTCGGGGGCTAGGTGAGTAAGTCATGGTATGGCACCAGTGATTAACAGTGCAGAGAAATGTCTAAGTAACTGGGTATCCTAGCCGGTACAGCCGCAAAACGGTATCCCGATTGTCTCAGGTTCGAGTTCTGATCTCTTTTCGCTATGGCTAACGTCTTACACAGTACACATTTCATAGTTTACATTTACCAGTTATCAAACATATCTTACATCCTATTTAGATATCAATTCATTAATTATTTGTTACATTTTTTCAAATCATTTAACATCATTTGTATTTAATTGTTTAATGTACACGATGACGCATATAAGCATTAGCCTTTTCCCAATTATACGCATTGCAAAAACTGACTTCATTCATACGCGAAGCTTCCTTATTACCAAAACGCCCCAAACCCCACCCCTATTTCGACCAGATTTTGTTGAAATTCTCTCAAACGAGCATTATTGTACGCACAATTATAAGGAACATTTACAAAACAAACCAATATACACATAACATTTATAATGTTTAAATAAGCGAAGCTTAAGTTATTGTACGGTTTGTGTCAAAAGAAAGAATGAGAATATTATATTTATACACGTAGCTGCTTTTTAGGTACGAAATACATTCTTAATTTTAAACTTGACCAACTTGACTATTAAGCTCACTTTCTTGCGTGAATTTTCATCAGAATTCTGCGAATAGTTATGCTTATATGGTTGTGTATGCGAATAAATATTTCTAATAATTATATTTTATTTCAAATATTATGTAAATTACCTTGAAAGATATTCCGTTTTTTCCGATCGAGCCCTTACTTTTTAATGAATATTAAATTTTCGCATTTTAAACTGCTTATATCTTTCTTCAACCACAAGCGTAACAAAGTTCTTTAAATGATCTAATCCGACTTAACACTTGTTAAATATCAAGTGATTATATACATTGTATATGGTAAACAAAATGGCATTAAAATATTTGGCTTAACATGTTTTCCGCAATGTAATTTTAAACCATTAGTCGGTACGGATAAAACAAAAGAAGACCCTGTATAAGATTAATCAATAATCAATAAACTAAAATAAATCGAAGTCTTACCTAAAAAATATCAAGCAAATATATCTACACTATGAAATATGATTTTATATTAGGTGTAAACCATTTCGTTCTATATATCCGATATGTTCCTGATTATTTTTTTAGTTTGACGAAGATCGATACACTACTTATTGACCCTACCCTTATGAACAGTGCGACGGGTATCATGTAATTTGAACGGGTATATTTTTTACATGATTAACTCTATGCTATACACCATTCTGTTAGTTGTATCATTGATATTTTGAATAAATTGAAGGAAGTTTCCGCATGAATCAATAAAGAAACATTATTCTAATATATGTATATATAAATGAAAACTAATGGGCAGAACTTTTATTATATTGTTAAAGGACATGCCCATGTAAAAACAATAAATATATACTTATTTCTTCTTTTTATTTCACTCCTTTAAGGTATTAGCACCCTAATGCATTACCTCCGCTTTGAAGAGTATTCAAATAGGCTAGAATTACTGTTAACTACACTGAAAATGAGGGCCATGGGTTCAATCCCCAGAAGGGTCAACTTTTTTTTTCTTTCTTTTTTTCTTTTAACATTAGTTATGTATCTCCCATGTCCCATATGGAAAGAAAAAAGTGTTTAATTTTGAATTTTTAATTTATATAGGTATTTATTGGCTAAATTATGCTAAATCTAGTAATAAATATGGTACCTGATATTTTCAAAGTGTAATATAATCAAAACTAGACGGTAAAAGTATTTCATATAATACAAGATCAACCAATATACTTTTTTTAAAAAATTAGGGAAACTTTGAAAACAGGCACTCATTTGGGTAAATTTTAAGAATTTTTTGAATTAGCCTCCCTAAGTAGAAAAAATGGTCAGACATGTGGTAAAAATGGGTGGGGTAGGGTAACATTTTTTATACAGATTTCATAAATTTTAAGTAGAAACCATAATTTTGCTTATGTGGATTGTTAGCTGAATGGTACTATTTGTTTCTTACCAAAAATTCATAGGAATATTTTTCATTAGAATGATATTGCAGATTATGTAAAGGTTCCTCATTTCTAAAAAAGGGCCCTCATAACATCCTAGCTTGAGTTCAGAAAAGTGGCCATAACTTAATTTCTGTACGTTAAACTTTGTTTAAATTTTGCATACAGGTGTACTTTAAGGTATACATCTGACCTATGATGTCAATTCTTTAGTTCCTGATAGTGCCCATTAGGGTCCTAATACCTTAAAGATGTAACCAATGAACTTTGCAACATTTGATCTCAATATAAATCATCATTTATACATGTATAAATGTATAACTCGTTTTCATTTCCCAAGTCTGACAAATCAATGAGTACACAATTGTTAAAATCTTTATTGGACGAGGCGAAAGTCGAGTCCAATTCATTCTTTGCAGCTGAGTCCAATATAGTCAGTATGGTACTCAACAATGTACGATGAACACTTAATTGTATAATATCAATGATACAGATACTTTGAGAAGAATATGGATTTAATATCTATTTTTTTTTGGACTCGGAAAATGAAAACGAGGCTAGAAAATGTATAATATTGATTTGATATGTATTTGTTGTTCGGAAAATGAAAATGAGGCAATATAGAATACAATATCATATTGTAACATTTTATCTATTGTATGTACATACGTTTGCGTGACTATCTAGAACAAGCTTAAATATTTTCATGTCACATAACAAACATACAAAAATATCGGGGACACAGATTATCCGCACGGTATTTATTAAGACACGTACACATTCACGAGTGTGTTTAAACAATCAACGGTTGTACATCGATCATTTCGCAAGAAACCGACCTTTGAAGTATTATAATTGAGTTCAATAATACCATACCGTATCATGTACAGGTAAATGACAGCCGGTAGCCAAAACAAGTAAAAACAGCTACAGTGTAAATGCGAATTAAGCGCTCATAAATCGAAAGCAATTATGGTTTTAGATAACAATACTAATTTTGAACTATCGGGAAAATATGAAACATACTTTAAACATAAGACAGCCTGTTTCAGTGATTTCCTTATTTAAGTGCTCTTTAAGAAGAAAACAAAATGCTGCCAAAAAGCGTTTGAAAATGTTTATTATAGCGGACATTTTTTATATAGAGTCATAACTGGAGGCTACGGTGGCACAAAAGGTGACATGTGTGTGTTTTTATTTAAATTTTAAGGTAAAAAAAATATATATAGTGTAATCTGATTGTTTAATTAACTCGTGTGCACGACTTAGTTATCTCGTTCCCACGACTTAGTAACTCGTGGCCACGACATACTAGTAGTATCTCGTGCCCACGACTTAATTCTCTTGTGGCCACGACTTAGTAACTCGTGGCCACGACTTAGTATCTCGTGGCCACGACATAGTATTTCGTTCCCACGACTTAACTTACTCGTGGCCACGATTTAGTAACTCGTGGCCACGACATAGTATCTCGTTGCCACGACATAGTATCTCGTGCCCACGACTTAGCTATCTCGTGGCCACGACTTAGTAACTCGTGCCCACGACATAGTATCTCGTGCGCACGAGATAAATAAAAACACACACATGTCACCTTTGTGCCACCGTACATATCACTTTTTAATCATCAAAGGTCAAATTTTAATTACTAATTTTGCTTTCAACCGCCTATCTATTTTGTGTCAATAACAAAGCTCAATGACATGACCCTTTGAAAAAAGCTCTATCTCATTAAATATTAATGAAAATCTAATCTAATTGAAAGACTTTTGCCATTCAATGCCTATGTCAATAAAAATAATATTGTGCGTTATGTAAAGGAACAAAATATTTAACTGCTATTTCTAGTGTTTTTTTTTAATTTTTTTTTTTTTTGGCGAAGATTTCAGGATTGTGTATCAATCACTTTAATTAAAATTTACTGACAGATTTCTTTCATTCTAGGTGTTTTGTAATCATTTTATTCACAGTATTTATAAACAATAATTTTACAATCCACCGACAGCAAATACCTATACAGCATTATAAACTTAAACTATTAATATATTTTATGCACAGTGTTCTTCCTTTTTTTCTTTTTTTTTAAAGTATGTATTTTTGATACTGAATATGTCAAAAATATGCCATGTGTTGAAATACTTTAAGATATAATGTTAATATAATGCTAATGAATAAATAAGATAATAATTGAAATATGTATAAATGTTTCTTGTTTATTCTGGCCTCTACACACATAGATATTTGCAATAGATTGACTTTTCCTTCATTCATTCCTCTCCGTTTTCCTTCTTTCCTCCTCTGTTTCCTTTCTATCTCCTCGTTTTCTTTCCTCCCTGTTTCCTTCCCTTCTACTTGGTTTCCTTCCTTCCCTTTTCGGTTTCCTTGCTTCCTTCCTTGCTTGCTTGCTTCCTTGCTTGCTTGCTTCCTTCCTTCTTTGTGTGTATCGTGATGGGTTTATTGTTATTGTTGTTAGCATATATCGTGTATTGTGTTTATCGTGGATGATATGTATCGTGGTAATTTATTTTGTGGTTAGCATATATCGTGTATTTTGTTTATCGTGGATGATATGTATAGTGGTAATTTATTTTGTGTTAGCATATATCGTGTATTGTGTTAATCGTGGATGATATGTATCGTGGTAATTTATTTTGTGGTTAGCATATATCGTGTATTGTGTTTATCGTGGATGATATGTATCGTGGTAATTTATTTTGTGGTTAGCATATATCGTGGCTGGTTATATCGTGGGTGATATGTATCGTGGTAATTTATTTTGTGGTTAGCATATATCGTGTATTGTGTTTATCGTGGATGATAAGTATCGTGGTAATTTATTTTGTGGTTAGCATATACATGTATGGTGTTTATCGTGGCTGGTATGTATCGTGGTAAGTTTATTTTGTGGTTAGCATATATCGTGGCTAGTTATATCGTGGCTGGTTATATCGTCGTGGTAAGTTTATTTTGTGGTTAGCATATATCGTGGCTGGTTATATCGTGGATGGTATGTATCGTGGTAATTTATTTTGTGGTTAGCATATATCGTGTATTGTGTTTATCGTGGATGATAAGTATCGTGGTAATTTATTTTGTGGTTAGCATATATCGTGTATTGTGTTTATCGTGGATGATATGAATCGTGGTAATTTATTTTGTGGTTATTATATCGTGGCTAGTTATATCATGGATGGTTTGTATCGTGGTAAAAAGGTTTATGGTATATAAAGTGGTTCGTAATTTCGTAAAAATATGATTTGTATATTAACGTGGTTGGTATGTGTTGTTGAGGGTAAACATCGTGATTGGTAAAAAGTATGTGTCATTTAGTAAATATTTTATCGTATATTTCATCTTTCTATGAACGTTTTGCTTATTGCTTATTCCACTAGAATCCAATTTCCACGTTTTTCTTTCTTTCACGCCAACGTTTTGTTTAGAAAATATGTAATAAAAATATGGGAAAAAAGTAAAACCATTGTGGGAGTTGTTTGAATGATAATTTTTTTCTGTCTCAAAGCAAACGGCACATCATGACAACTTGTTTACATACATTTATCAAATGTGAAACTTTTCCTACGGCAATTAACTATTTTGTCAATTTTCTTTTTTGCTTGAACGCTGTTTATATAATTCTAACAAAAGGCATAAGCATGCTTTATCACTTGTTAGGATACAGTCAAGTGAAACCGACATCTCTCATTTATCCGTCCGTGTTTTCGTTTCTAGCGTAACTGTTGTTACTGTCAGTCAGATATGTTCATTTAAACATTTGTTAACACTTGAAAGAAGTTATTAATTTCTCGGTAAATGAAGACACCTTAATGTAAACTCGTTGGGGGTTTGTAAAATATTGTTAAATCACGACGAGCAGAGATGTTTGAAGGTATGTGTCTTTAATTAACAGATGAAACCAGATTGTAAAAACTTATGTCAAAACATTTATGTA